CTAAAGCCAGAGAGACAGTCTCAAGGAAGCGGTCGACATAGAGTGGATTGGAGGGGTAGTTGCATCACCTGAGGCAATCCCTAATGGCCTTCTAAAGCTCGCTGTCGTCGAGAATGATTTAACCTTCTGATGACCGTGAATGGGCTCGACAGAGGCTCGTGTATTCTATAGAGAAACACGTGAAGGGTAGCTACTCCTGGGTCTTCAGTCTATCCTCCATTCCGTGGTGCCTGGGTATTTCTTATGCTCGCCCTAAGAAGGGTAGCTACTCCTGGGTCTTCAGTCTATCCTCCATTCCGTGGTGCCTGGGTATTTCTTATGCTCGCCCTAAGCGAAGTGACTTTTTCCCCACCAACTTCTTCGAGCAATTTCTGACCACTGCCAAGTGCACAGTGTATTAGGAACTGGTTCTGTTAAGGCAATTTATAACTAACTATTTACTTAGGTCAATATGGTCTGCACCGCTGATAATGTCAAACGACTTACGTGTTTTGAAACCCGAAATCCGGGATATCCTGTTGAATCGCAATGTCATCGCTATCGATCAGGATCCGTTGGGAATAATGGGCAAACTTGTGCGGAGGGTGAGTCGACAGAACTCGATTCATTCAATACAATGGAGCCTTTAGGTGAAAAGTCGAGTTTTAGATAAAGTATATCAGTATCTATGTGAAGCCAGTAACACCCGTCCGTGACGGCCACTATTCCTACGCCGTCGCAGTCGTCAACATGCACGAACACAAGGATAAGGTGATTTCGTTCCTGATCATCATAGACATGAATGGAAATCGTGTAGTGGCAAATGGCACTATCACACACGCATGATAACGGGTTCCAATCTCGGCTGTTCGGCCAGGCCGACCAAACCTTCCATCCTTCTGGGGTCGACTAATTGTTACCGGACTTGTCTGGGATGATAGCACTGACTTGAACATCGGCTGGCCACCGCAAGTCATTGTATAGGACCGCGGATCTCACGAGCGGTAGTGACTAACACTTGAAGACCTTATTCTCCGTTTATTCTCATCAAAGGCCCAAGTAGATTAATTCTTAGTCATACATCCTCAAAAAGTGTATAGATGTACCCAGGTTACAGCAACATGAACGGTATTTGACGATAGCTAGAAGCTTGCCTGCTGTAGCCTTTGTATAGGAGAATCAGCAGTATGATTGGCAGTGGACGGTCAGTTGTAGAAGATATGCCAGCAATCTTTCCGATGAAAACAACTCACCGATCATGTACTCAAGTCCGGACTCTTCCCGCGGCTATTTCTGTCCCAGACGGGGAGCCAGAGCGAGAGAGAACAAGTCATCGCATTTCCTCATCTAGTTTCGGCGCAACAACGGCGTTAAAAGGGACTTCTCGCTGTTTTTAGCTGAGCACCCGTACCAGCACAGATATTTTCTGTCAACTAGTACCTTGTACAACTGAAAAAACGTTTTGGAAGATGCGTCAGGCTACCTCTCTTTTGACAAAACCTAATGGAAAGATAGCCCACACATGAATAGCTTGGCATCGAAGGAGCTCCAAGCGGTGCAATATCTAGTGAGCTTGATGCACTTTTCTTTGCAGCAAATAAATTTCACCCTGAAATCGATTGGGCTTGAAAATGCGAACGGATACCAACTATTCAATCTTTGGACGGGCGAAGATCTGGGACGAGTG